TAGAGTTTAGTTGTAATTGTTTAGATGCATTTACGATTTGCAATTAGTCCCTGCAACTTTAAGCAACTTTAAGCAACTTTGAGCAACTTTAAGCAACTTTAAGCAACTTTAAGCAACTTTAAGCAACTTTAAGCAACTTTAAGCAACTTTAAGCAACTTAAAGGACAATATCGGCGTATTGACTTGCGATTACTCTGTAGATATAACTCGTGGATTGAAATAACACAGCAAAGACAAGGAAGAAAATTTGAGGAATTTTACAAATTATTTTTAATTTTTTTTCCCTAAATTGTACACTTGTTCTTTAATAATTTTGATGCATGAATGTTATATACTTTACTTACTACATATTCGTCCGATTTAATTATTCATACACACATATTTTTGTGAAGATTTGGACCTTACAATTCGTTTATCTTATTTGAGTATTGTAAGCTTTTGTCTTAAAGGGACAGACCGGCTATGTAAGGTAGTTGAACTGAGTATGCAGTGTTGTGGACAAATTCTTTAGGATTCATTTGAGACATCTCAAACTTTTTTAAGATCTGTGAATCCTGAGTTTGAGCGCCAAGTCGACGTTCAAAATCGTACTTTTGGGTGGATACGTTTTCAGAATGGTTGTATGGTTTGTAAATGATCTGTAAACCTTAAACTTTATTTTCTTTAAATTTAATTTTTACGTGTTATAGAATTTGATAAATTTCGTCAACATCTTTTTTTAAATATGTTACATTCATTTTTTATTCGATGTATTTAGGTAGATTGTTACTGTATTAATGTTGTTAAATCATACTTTTTAAAAGTTTAGAATTCGCGAAAACATGAAAACACTTTAGTATCTATAACTAGTTATTAAAGATTGAATAGGATTTTCAAGTTAAAATTCCCTTGTTTTCTGGTACAGGGTGTCCCAATAAACATGGGAATTCAGTTACGAATTCGATATTGTCTTTTCAAATAATTCTTTGATTTAGTATAGTGATACCTACTGAGAAAGCTGTAATCTGTATGAGTTTCGTCTGCTATGTTCACATTTTGTTTGTTTATGTTTTGACTGCATACGGTTGTACTTAGTAAACAAGAGTAAACTTGTCAGTCTTCACTGTTCATCTTGCGGAGACATTATGAACACATCTTTACAATCTTTTACCCTTTTCATAAAATAAACTCTAGCAGACATAATAATATTATGGCTTTTGAAATCAGGTATTACAATGCTAATTCATAACAAAGACGATATCCAATTCGTCACTGAATCCTCATGTTTTTTGGGACACCCTGTACTCTCCGTATCTTGGCTAAAACAAATGTCCATCCTCCCTGGGAGGCGGTACCTGGCTTTAAACATGCTTCATTACCGGAAACGAAAATTCTTCAAGGGGGATATCCCTTTCCCCCCCCCCCTTTATCCTTTCTCTTCATGATTCCCCTATTTAAGAAGAGATAACGAGTAAGGGGTGAGAGATAATACGTTATTATTATACAAGTTCATCTTTATAATCCTTATATTATACTCCTGTATTTGGAGGAATATACTACAGTATGAGAGGAGACACAGAGAGAACAGGTCAAAAACTTGCTCCGTCCTAATCCGTGGTTCAGTTCTCAAGTTTACTCCATCCTAAACGATAGTAGACAGGTTTACTCCGTCCAGAAAAGTTCAGTTCAAAAGTTTGCTCCGTTCTACTCGGTAGTAGACAAGTTTATTCCGTTCTAATCCATAGTTCAGTTTGGAAGTGTGCTCCGTCCTACTCGTTCGTAACCAGGTTTACACCGTCCTTCGTCTTATTTGTAGACAGGTTTACTCCGTCCTTCTACTTAGTAGACAGGTTTGCTCCGTCCTTCTACTTAGTAGACAGGTTTGATCCGTCCTACTCCTTAGTAGACAGTTTTACTCCCTCCTACTCCTCAGTAGAAAGGTTTACTCTATCCTACTCCGTAGTAGACAGGTTTATGTAGTCCTACTCTTCAGTAGGCAGGTTTACTCCATCCTACTCCTCAGTAGAAAGGTCTTCTCCGTTCTTCTCCTTAGTAGACAGGTTTTTTTCGTCCTACTCCTCAGTTGAGAGGTTTACTCCATCCTACTCCTCAGTAGAAAGATTTACTCCATCCTACTCCTTAGTAGACAGGTTTATTTCGTCCTACTTCTCAGAAGACAGGTTTATTTCGTCCTACTCTTTAGTAGACAGGTTTATTCCATCCTACTCCTCAGTAGAAAGTTTACTCCGTCCTACTCCTTAGTAGACAGGTTTATTTCGTCCTACTCCTTAGTAGACAGGTTTATTCCATCCTACTCCTCAGTAGAAAGGTTTACTCCGTCCTACTCCTTAGTAGACAGGTTTATTTCGTCCTACTTCTCAGTAGACAGGTTTATTCTATCCTACTCCTTAGTATACAGGTTTAATCAATCCTACTCCTCAATAGACAGGTTTACTCCGTCCTACTCCTAAGTATACATCTTTACTCCGTCATTATCCTTGGTAGAATTGTTTACTCCGTCTACTCCTCAGTATACAGGTTTACAGGTTTACTCCGTCTTACTCCTCAGTAGACAGGTTTTCTCCTCAGTAGAAAGGTTTCCTCCGTCCTTCTCCTTAGTGTACAGGTACTCCATCCTATTCCTTAGTAGACAGTTTTGCTCCGTCTTACTCCTCAGTAGACATGTTTACTCCATCCTACTCCTTAGTAGACAGGCTTTTTACGTCCTGCTCCTCAGTAGACAGGTTTACTCCGTCCTACCCCTCCCTTAGTAGACAGTTTTAATCCGTCAAACTCCTCAGTAGACAGTTTTACTCCGTCCTGCTCCTCAGTAGACAGGCTTTTTACCTCCTGCTCCTCAGTAGACAGGTTTACTCCGTCTTTCTCCTCAGTTGACAGTTTTACTCCGCCCTGCTCCTTAGTAGACATGCTTTCTTTGTCCTACTCCTCAGTGGACATGTTTACTCAATCCTACTCCTTAGTACAGGTTTACTTCGTCCTACTCCTCAGTAGACATGTTTACTCAATCCTACTCCTCAGTACAGGTTTAGTCCGTCCTACTCCTCAGTACAGGGTTTCTGCTAGTTTAAAAGTGTTTGTCACGCACACCGTCTTCTCTCACCTTATCACAGTAGTACACTTCATGACAGGAAAACTGTGGGATATACAATCCACGACAAAATTCTCACTTTAGTTTCTTTTCATTAATCGAACAGCTTAATCTCCTGTTTACTTATAATTCGCTCTGTTTGGACCAAACTTCTCTTTATATTACATTTTCTTCTGTTTATAGTAAGCTAATATTTTCTATTTTTATTGAATTCTGTTTTTATTTATCTCCACTTAAGTTTCTGTTTTTATTTATCTCCACTTAAGTTTCTGTTTTTATTTATCTCCACTTAAGTTTCTGTTTTTATTTATCCCCACTTAAGTTTCTGTTTTTGTACAGTTTCTCCTTATCTCTTCAAATTCTACCTAATTAAGTAAACATGACGTAGACTAAGTATTCTTGTCTTCTTGCTTCCTAATCAAAACCTGGGGCTGGGCCTAAAGCCTGAATCCAGGTCTGACAAGCCGATTTTTCAACCTTGGTTGTTTTTATATTTTATTTTCAAAAAATATACCCAGAGCAATTGAATTGAGTTTAGCCACAAACTAAAATTTTCAAATCTCTATATCTTTGTAACGCAATTTTGTAGACCTTAGATATTTCAAACTATGAATTCTGTTGGATCAAATAATCTAATTTTGAAAAATCAAAGGTATACAAGATTGCAAAGTTTTAGGGATTAGACGATTTTAGTCTGTGGCAAAGACTCAATTCCCTTTTTTTAAGAAAAATTGTTCATCTTCTCTCGTTAAAATTATGATCAGTGTTTGTTTAGAGGGATCTAAAATATCAGGTTTTGGGAACAAGAACTAAACTGTTTTGATCTGTGTGGGTCGAGGTTAATGGTCTGAAAATATTTTTTTTTATAAAATATTAATTTCGTAAATCCCCTCTGTGGAAGTCTAATTTTCAAATTCCTAAGATTTGGCATTCTTATATAAGGTGAATTTTTACATTTTTACGGGTTCTATTTTTGTGTTTATATAAACATGATATATCCACGTCTATACGTCTCACGTAAATGACTGGTTTTTACTTTTCCCTTTAAATAATTGATATCTAATCATGTCTATCCGTCCTGCACGTGGACAAATTAGTTTGTGCACTATTGGGTTTAAAGATTAGAGAGATAGGAGTCGAACTATAGTTCTTGTTTTGTAAAACCTTTCACACTACTGTACACTTGCTAATTTAAATCAACTAGAAATTCAAGGCGCTTCGCGCCCTTCTTTCTAGCCTTAGAGGGCGCTTCGCGCCCATCTTCTAAATTAGTTGTGAACATGTTCTCTTTGTGTACATCGTAAAACAAAACAAAAATAATTTGCGGATTTTCACAAAAAATTTCGCGGATTTTCAAAATTTTTAAAAATTTAATGACGATCGAATTTTGATGGAGACAAATATTTGAAATTTTGATTTTTCATAAACCTTCCCTGGGGTCCCTAGATGTCCCAAAAAAAATTTGTGCCCGATCGGTTCAGCCGTTTTGACGTTTATTGGATACAAACAGACAAACAAACAGACAGACAGACAAGCCAAATTTATATATAGATGAAGGAGTTGAGTCTGTGCCACAAGCTCAAATTTTATATTCGATATATTTTTGCAACCTGATTGTGTATACCTTTGATATTTGATCTGATAGAATTTATAGTTCGAAATATATAAGATCTACAACATCGGGTTGCAAAGATATATGGATTGGAAAATCAAAGTTTGTGGCAAAGACCCAATTCCTTTCCAGTTAAAAAAAATAAGAATTTCTACATGTTCATTGATCGGAGAAAGGTTTAAAGGTTACCCCTGTAAATCAAAGGTATCACTCTTAACTCGGAGGGTTACTTAATGATTCAAAAAATATGATCTTATCTACCTTGCAAGCATTTATTAATCTCTTAATCTATGCAATCTACTAAGATAAATCTAAATAATTTCAGACTTAGACTTGGATTACATGGTTTGAAGACATCAGGTTGCAAAGATGTAGTGATTAGATACTTTGAGTTTTTGGCGAGTCACGTTAACTAAATTCCACGTAAGATTGAAAAGTTTTCAATCTTATAACTCCTTTGATGTGAGAGGTATTGAGGAGCACAACATTCTTTCAATTTCTAAGATGTCCCTGGATGGAATTGGATGGATGGCACCAAGTCTCTCAAGTTTCCTGGTTCGATCTTTGTTATCTTTGTCCCTACAGCTTCTGCCGTCATTCAGCACATAAATATTTAATCTGCATTGTAAACTGGGGGTCAGAAGACATCATTTCAAGTGATCCTCCATAGACAGAGTAGAATTTATTTCAGTCACCACGAACTAACCAGAGTGAGAAGCATTCTGTTTCTTTTATTTGAAATCAAACGTGTTTTGGTCTAACAAGTCAAAAATCTTAAATCTTTCATTCAAAACGTATATGCCGACAAAAAAGTATTTAAGAAAAAAGGCTAAAGAATTATGTATAATGGGTCAAATTGGGATCGAAAGTCACAGCTGTCTGAAATATTGACAGAACCGTTAAATCTACGTGAAGAACCATATGAACCCATGTCAGAACAAAAATAACCGATATTTCCATATTTTTTCCTTAAAAAAATGACTGCTTTTATCAATGGTTTCTCGATAAAAAACGTAGTTTCAAGTCACCCTCCAGGCAAAGATGTGAATGCCGGATGTACAGCGGGGCCTATGATACCTTTATCAGATCAAAAATCGTCTTTTCTCTGGATTGAAAAGTGTTTAATTTTCATATATCCAACATCGTTTTCCTGCAGTAGAAATTTGCTAGTCACTTTTTTTGAGAAACCACAATTGAAAATAATCAGTTTTCAAAATTAAAAACATGAATAGGTGGTTTGATACATGCGCATTGCTCACTCTGCATTGTACTGCAGGATACACTGTACATACCATTGTAGATTACATGTACAATGGTTTTGTGTAAATTGTGTATGATACTTAATACAACCAACCTAGTACACCTTACAGTACAATTAGCAGCTTTATACCACACAAACATTCAAAAAGTGTTACGTGTACATTTCTATAATTATATATTAGGTGCTGTAGAGTGTATTACTTATACTATATATATATATATATATATATTTGATATATCTAGTGCCATATGTTCCAGTTTACTCTAAACAGTTCCTGGGCTAACGGCAGATTAAAATGAACCCTGGTGAGAATTAAAATTTAATATTTTAGATTTAAAATGATAAAGCCTGGAACAGAAAGAACTGGAAGAGCTGTGTGAACCAAAATTACTTTCAAATCTCGAAAAACACAAAAAGGTAAAAAAAATTATATTTTCACACTTATAGTGTTTTCAGGCATTATTATTCTTTACTTAATATATAAAAAACAAGATTTTTTCCTTCCATAGCAACACTTTCGCAGATTCCGATAATTTGAATTAATGTAACATTGGCGTTTGGAGAAAAAATTCTAAACAATTTCTTAAAAAATATGTTTAACATATGTTTTATATTTTAAGTGTCAAACATTCGCGACATTGTTGCCATATCTTTTAAAAATTATATTAAAGAGCGTTTTATCACTATATATATTCTAATTTCAAAATTATATTAAAGAGCGTTTCATCACTATATATATTCTAATTTCAAAATTATATTAAAGAGCGTTTTATCACTATATATATTCTAATTTCAAAATTATATTAAAGAGCGTTTTATCACTATATATATTCTAATTTCAAAATTATATTAAAGAACGTTTTATCACTATGTATTCTAATTTAAAAATCTTTTTAAAGAGAGTTTATCACTATATATTCTCATTTCAAAATGATTTTTTCTAAACACTTGCTAATCTTAACTTTAAAGGGAGTGTTCGCGAAAATTAAAGGGAGTATAGGCTTGCGTCTGAAAGGAGAAAATTGTTAAAAACGACTTATACTGAAGAACGTAGCGTCCATACAAATTCAGAAAGTTGCAATATACAACTCGGATCGTAAAATAATCAATTTAATTTCAAACAAACAAATCATTCAGATATCACAATCTAAAGTCATCTATTAATTTTTGACGCATTTGTAAATAGCCTAAACCCCCTTTCATTTTTCGCGAACACTCCCTTTAAGCATGCACAATGCACATGCTTTAATTTTGTTGAGTTGATAAGAATAAATCATATAGTAACATATTGAAAACAATTATAAAGCCTAGACCTTGTAGTTGAGCTGAGAGTGCTTTATTGTACAGAAATTTTCCAGGAATTATTTAAAACCTATTTGAGACATTTTATGATGTATAATTGATTAGGCAGTATCTCCCTTTGAAGGTCCAGGGAACTAATTTGAAATAAATAAGTAAAAATAAATCCAATTGTATAACAGTTAATTAATTTTTGTTATATTTACAATCTTTGAAATAATGAAATGTTAAAAGAAATTGTCACTTTCAAACCAAACATCCATCAAGTGTCTGAAACATCCATTAAACTTGTTATTGATTAAAACGGAAAAAAGGCGTTCTCATCTTTCTAAGTTTATTTAGCATTTATTTCAAAAACTGTTCAAAGAATTATTTTTCATAAAAAAGGCCCAAAAGAAGTTCTATAATTCTGTCAATAAGTTACGCAAAATAAAATAAAAAACATGATACACAGATTTTACAAAAATCGATATCTGGCTCAAATCTACCATATTTTAATCCAACAGAGTATCTAATGGGATGGAAGTGGGACGGAGGGGGGGAGAGGGGAGAGGGAAACAGGGGACAGGTAATAGGGTGCCGTTTAGAGATAAATCTATGTTTTAAATCTACAATAATATGTCGGAGTCAACAAGTCCCAGTTGTTTCTCTCTAGGCTGTTACTCGTTGAATCTCTAGGTTGTAAACTAGTTGTATCTCTAGGTTGTTAACTAGTTGTATCTCTAGGTTGTTAACTTGTTGTATCTCTAGGTTCTTAACTAGTTGTATCTCTAGGTTGTGAACTAGTTGTATCTCTAGGCACTTAACTAGTTATATCTCTAGGTTATTAACTAGTTGTATATCTAGGTTGTTATTAACTAGTTGTATCTCTAGGTTGTTAACTAGTTGTATCTCTAGGTTGTTAACTAGTTGTATCTCTAGGTTGTTAACTAGTTGTAT